AGTGAGTTCTACTTGCAATTCACAAACTTGTGATGTTCTAATGTGAAATTGTAACGGCTTTTATAGATGGTTATCGATATCTTCTAGTAATGCTATCATTCTATACTTCAGATACACTCTTGATAAGGGAATCCCGGTTGTGATAAGGGTCAATTTAATTAATTACCGACATACGATAATACGCAAGCACTTGCATTTGATTTGGAAAAGATCCCGACACTTTCTCTGGTATTTCAAAAGTAGTCATAAATCTCTTGATATCACTACAAAAGACCACAAATAGAATCACTTCATTTGATTTACCGGTGATTTTTACTTCCACTTATCTCATAACGAAAACAAAGTCCCCAATAGTTTTGTTTTATTTGAGCTCAACTACTTTATGTCCTTGAACCGTTTTGCTCGAGAAAAACAAGGAGATTCACATCAATGAATATTTCAAAATCTGTTACTGGTCGAAGAAATAAATAAATATACACTTTTTACGGTAAGACAAATGTTTTTTTTGCATAAATAGTAGGTGTTTGCTCAGATAACAACTATAAAAAATGTATATTTGGGGTACCTCGCGAACAAAGCATGATATTTTCATACCAAAATCCAGAAAAAATTTCACTTTTGTTTGGGAGGTACCTCAGAAAACCAATTTTAAGAGTTTTAAGCTGAGAAGACTCCCATTATTTTTGAGAAAAAATAACTCTTTACTAAGACACCAAAATCGAAATCGTTGAAATCGAATATGAGACAAGTACTATGTAAAAACATCACTTGACTTGGTCATGTAAGCACTTAAAATGTTCGTAAGGAAGAATGCTAGATGTTCCAAGTCAGCAAATGTAGAAATTGTTTGCTCTATGGGGTGATTCAATGCTCTATATGGGTGAAAACGATGCTCATTTGCTCATTTTGGTTTGAAACTATCGTAGTTTTCGACACGACTATTTCTTTCAATTTCGATAAAAAAGTGTAAATAGCTGAGAAAGGCCGATTTTTGACGAAAAAGTCGACTATAGCTAACCAGAGAATGCCTGTCATGTGTCATCTAACAAAGTACGTCCAAAATCTAATTTATGCAGCTAATTTCTGTTCGAAAATCAGCAACCAACCGCTATGTCGAAAGATCTTTCTAAATCATTGATGTTTTTTTGTCATTTCATTTCTGGCTGAAAAATTGCAAACATTTTCTTATTAATGGAGAAGAAAAAAAGATTTTGATTCAATTTCATGAAATCAGTTTATTTGCGCAAATTAGACAAATTCTATTTCAGAAATATACGAAAGACACTTAATTTATAGCAAAATGATACTATCTTCAATTTCAGGCAATTCATTTCCGTTGTCATGAAAAAATGTTTGTGTTCAGTTCCAAATACAAAAGCTTAACAAATCAACTTCACAAAGATGAGATATTTCGTCTCCTAGTCCCGGTTGATCAGTGGTCGAACTATTTGTATCCACAGTGTCATCTGAATATAGAATGAATATAGTTAACAAGAGCAACGTTATCTTAATACGTAACCGATTCGGTTCCAGTTTCAGTTTCGGTTTCTGTTTCAGTGTGAGTCTGTGGAGCTTTTGTAGTTGAAAATTCCTCTGATGCGACTGCCATCAAAACGAAGGCAAGCAGAATGGCAATGAAATTGAAATTGATATTTGATCATTTTTAAGTTTTCTTTGTATCACTCGGAAAATTGGCAATTTTGTGATGTTTCAAGCCCATTTGACGCTGCATTTTATAGTCAAGCACCAGTTGCCTTTGTTTGAGAAAAAGAGCAACTTAAAAATAAACTTTTAGATATTTTCTATCGATGACGCCATCTTCTTTAATTTCTATGGATTAACGTTTATCACAAGAGTAATCGCAGACTGTTTGTGTTGACTCCATAGAATGATACGAACGATATAACCAGGGCCGAAGAAAATATTTACGCTAAACAGGCGAAATATTTATTTAAATATCTCAGAAAAAGGCCTGAAATATTTAGGCTAAATCTCAAAAAACGGAAAAATATTTATGATAAATATAAAATATTTAAGATGAAAATCAATACTTTTTTCAAGAATTTATTGGAATAAATTATTTATTGATATATCTTTTTCACTATTGCAACTGGTTACAAAATACGACAACAATTTTTTTCAAATTTTTGTACAATGATCGACGATTGTCGCTCAATACAGCCCTATGGCGCGAAAATGTTCGTTCGACATCACAAGATATTATTGGCGCTAATTTAAATGCACTCAATTCGTTCGGTGTTAATGATTCAACAAATTCATCATTTTTGTTGCTCTTTCCTGTGCTCAAAATTACTGAGATTTCTTTCATTTCTGAAAACCCTTGTTGCGAGCTTTGTCAAGAAATCCCGATTTCCCACGAATTTGTTGTAAATTGTTGCGAACAAATTCAAATGTTTCAAGAGCTTCAATAATTTGTGATGTTTGTGACAATGCAAGAAAAGTTGTTCTTGATAAAAGTCAATTCTCGTTTCAAATTTTTCGGCTTTGCGATAGCGGTTTGAGCCTTTCCTATCGATTTTGCATCGCCTGCATCCTGAATTTTGCGAGTTCAAACGAAACATCAAAACTTATACAACAAAAATACTCAATACATATTACAAGTGGGAAATCAATTCGATCTGTAATTCACGTACTTCTTATCTCATTCATTTCAAATTAAATTCGGCATAAACAATAACAATAGCGCTGACTTGTTTTGACTGCAACTTTTATATTTGAGTATATTCGTGTCATATCGACTTTGTGGTATGAAAAGAATATGATTTAAAATCACTTGACCAATGAATTTTTGTTCAAAATATTGATTTTGAGAGGCAAAAACGGCCAAATATTTACTTAAATATTTTATTTAAATAAATATTTTTTTCTCAAAAAACGCCAAAATATTTAATCAAATATTTTTTATTTAAATAAATATTTTCTTCGGCCCTGGATATAACTATTTTTCTTTTCAAACTTACATCCATTGTTCAAACCATTTTGATCTTGACACGAGCGATGTTCATCACATGTTTTATTTCTAATTTGGAAATATTATCGATTGCATTTTTTGGAGTTAAATATTTGCAAATGGAACTGCATTGAACACAAAGTGAACTAAAAATACATTGACATAAGGTAACATAAAAAGTACAAGCTAATTAAATCGCCATCAACTATCCCGTCCCAATCTCCCAGAGCAAAAATATTTCGATTTGGCAAAAAAAAACGAATAAATTAAAATGAAATTCGCAAAACAACCTCTTAAGAGGATTTATAATACTTTCGTAAGACAACTAAATTTGCTGGCCTGTTGTTTTGCGAAATTCATTTTAATTTATTCGTTGTTTTACCACATCGAAATTGTTGCGATTGCAAAACTTCGAGTATTATAAAAGTATAATGAAAAGTTTATAAAATGATTTTAAAGCCATTATAAAAGTGTTAAAGAACTAACGTAAAGACTAAAATGAAATTTCCAAAGAGACAATCTCTGCCATGAATTCACATTTTCACAAAAGATAATGATGGCTCATCGACGAACATATCTATCAAACATGTATAGTTGAATTAGAATGTAATGTCAATTGATCCGACAAGCTAAAGAAGAAGAACAAAATCAAGCAAAATGTAACAAAAACATGAATCAATTTTAAATTAAAACCCAATTTTATTTCGTTGCTTTTAATAAAATCTTCTGCCCATTTTATGAATTAAATCATTACAAAGTGAAGGCGTTTAAATTTTGATCTACAATAATTGTTTTCGTATTTAATTAGTTGACATGTGTGCATATCAATGCTGAATCCATTCAAAACAATCTACTGTTGAAATACTTGAAACAACAATGCCCGTGCAAAATGAACAAAAACATGGGGCTGTTTTGTTGGATTCAGCATATTTTATTCGCCGGAAATTATTCCATGGCGTATTCATACTTTTAGTATATGCTAGTTTTTTTTTTTGGGTGGGGGGACAATATTGTCTCGCCGGTGATATTTAGTTGGTATGGTTAAAAGTCAATAATAAACATGTTTCATATCAATCCTACGTCTACGTTTCACATTTTCATTCTTTTTTAATTATCTTGTCATGGATATAGCATATGAAGTAAATAACAACATGAAGTTAATGTAAAGTCAGGTTATTCACAGTCTGATTCTCATCTTTTCAAACAAAACAGGTAAGAAAATCACACTCTACTAAATTCTAAAAATAAAAAATCTCTTCAACTTGATGCAAAAGAACCTCCTTTGAATAAATCATCTAAAACTTCAGATTACAATTGAAATATTGTTCGTATTTATTGTATATTGATTGATAAACACATGAATTCTTCGTGAGGTTTTTTCAATTCTATCAAAACGATTTCTCTTATTTAATTTGAAAATACTGTTTATCTCATGACACACTTGTAACCAAAAATTCGAAACAAAAACAAAATACACTTGGAATTGTCCAATAATGATCACATCCTTAGGAAGATATGCCTATGTATAGTATATAAATTCTTATACCAGAAAAATGGAAAATCACTCTCACTCTCTAATATCACTACACTCTCTGATTCTCTCAATGGAATTTGATTATTTTATGATTCCGGCTATCATATGTATGTATATGTTAGTGGTTAAATGGTACTTTTAGTTCAAAAACGAATATCAGGTGTGTGTGTGTTGAAAATATCGCATTTGGTCTAATTTAATTTCTCTTTGTTTATTTAATGGTCGTCATTTGATGTACCAAATATTTTTGGAAGCATCGCGTCGATTGAAGTACTGTGATAATGCAAATTGTATGACCCAGCTGCTGCTGATTGTAGGTGCTGTGGATTGTTTAATGGGTAACGCTGCGACTAGGACTAGAAGATAGGCCCATCTTAGATAGGGTCGATATCTTACCACGTTGAAAACTTGACTTGCTCTGCTCGGCAAAAAGCTTACGAAAACTGAAATTGAAGGTGGAAAATGGAAAATTCGGTTTATTAATTTGCTGACTACTCTGTAATAACGAGCATGCATCCAAAAGTAGGATAATTTCGAATTGAATAGTATAGAATTTTGAAAAAAATGTGTCGATTGCCTTAAACAAATTGGGTTGGTGAGGAAGAATTTATGGCCTCGTGCGTTTCCCACTTAAAAAGAAGAATTGCAACGTTGAAACTTTTACAAGACGAAAAAAAGAGCAAAAAAATGGACATTGTCATAGAAAACTTCTAGAAGCTTATGTGTTATGCCAGTCAATACAACTCAGTATCAATTTCCAACAAGCAATATCAAAATGTATAGGAAATTTCTGAGAAGACTCGCAATTTCACGATTCTGTAAATGATTCGAAGCGCTTCGCAAGTCTTCACATAGTTTGCCTATATATTTTCATTCTGACTCTTCAAAATGCGCAATGAGTTGCATTGACTGGTATAACATGTAAGCCCCTCGTACATTTTATTGTCCCTTTTTGACGTAAATTCACTCAAAAAATGAGTGGCAGTCGTAACGCCTCGGACGGATAGCATACTCTTATATAATAGAAACACAGAAGCATGCTCTCCGTCCGGGGCATTATGACCGCCACTCGATTTTTCCTTCCTACGAGGTAACGAAGTTTCATTCCCACCAGTTCAATTGATACAAAACATGAAATACGTACAACTTCCTCACGCCAGACCCTTCACTCGCCCTCTTCCATGGAGCATCGTCCGGTTCATACGGCAATGGGCCTTGAACAGGCGGATCTTCTTCTTCCTCCTCCTTCTTCTCCGCATTTCTAAAATATGAAAATGATTCAATTTGAGATTTCTTTTAAGCACAAGAGTGATTTGATCACTTCATTTTTAAATAAAAAAAAAATTCACGAATTCTTACGGAATTTCCTCGGGTGTCTTCTCCTCGATTTTACTATTCAATTTTATTTCATGCATTACATCCGGTTTGAATTGCTTTAATTCACATTCCAATTCCTCCACTTTGGCTTTTAGACTATCGCGTTCCATAAGCAATGGTTTCAAATCATCGTTCGAAAGTAGAGAGCATCCAGCGCTACTTGCTTTTTTTAAATCAACAATTTCATTGCCGCCGAAACCCAAGCTGCGTCGCAGTACATTGATTTCACGTTTTTGATCTTGAATCTGGACCAATAAATCGGATCTCTCGTCAAGAAGTTTCTGTACTTGAGCCTGCAACAATTTTTGCCGTTTTCGTGACTCACGTCCAGAACTCTTCAAACGCTCCAACTGAATTGAAAACTGGAATTGAACAAATGAATTGTTTCAATAAAAATAATATTCTGAATATGAATCCTACATACATTTTCAATTTCGGTATTTTTCTCTTCAATTTCTTGGTCACGGCACATTAATTCGTCACGCTGCTTCTCCATTTGGCCACGTAATCGCTTTAGTTTCTGAAAATCTGATTCGTTCAACAGATTTGAAATTGTGCTTTGTTCCGGTTTTGGCACTTGCTTCCCATCGCCAATACTATCGTTGGCATTTTTATATTCACTTTGCTTAATACGACGATTTTCCTCTTGCAATCGATTCACCAGGTCCATCAGCTCTTTGGTTTCGACGTGCCATTGTTCTTCAATCGTTTCCAATTCCTGCAAATAACGAAACATTTACGGTGAACATTAATATTCGTTTGGGGACGATTTATATTGGGCGATAATCGAGTGAATATGAGCCATTATTGACTCTTGTTCGTAATAAATCCTGTGAAATGTTATCAAGTCATAAAAAATGTGTTTGATAGCGATGGTGTTAGAAAAATATTTTTTTTCTGTGGATTATTCCCTCTTTATCGTTATTTGATGTATTTTTTTTTCATGATTAGGTCGCTTTGTCGGTTTTTTTTTCTGATAATGTTGTTGTTTTTGTGGGAATAATGTAAAACCTCATGAAAATGGTCATAAAAACGAAATAATTAACCAATATGACAAACTTTGCACTATGACCACGACATGTATTTTCAAATCTCATTCAGTAAGCGAGTCGCCAGTGTTCACATTCTAATTGCCTTGTGTCATTAGAATTTATTATCGCATATCTGATGTGACAACTTACACCGGTTGACATTATAATTTCATTTGTTATGGCGTTTGTTATGTGTTGTCATTATACGAAATGGCAATTACCGCCGGATATTTGCGTCACCAAGAACGAAAGTAGAATATACTCACTAGGGCGGGTCGATTTGTAGGGAGTGAAAAAAATCGACCAAATACCTATGATTTCCGTGTTCTATGGGTCATTCCAAGAA